ATTATCTCGATGAATATACAAGAAATGGTGAGAAACTAAGTTAAAACACGACAACAATTATTTCGAAGGTAATGAACAGAGAACATATTCCTCGCATTTGAGAATTAAAAAAAAAGTATCAAAATCAAAAGCAACCAAAAAGACACGACATAAGCAAAACATAAAAGAAACCAGTTCCAATATATATACATCAATCTATATATATATATAAAGCAAATGCAAATGCAAATCTGAGCAAAATAAAAAAAAAGATATTAGAGAAAACATAGCAAATTAGATTATCTAATCGAAGAAAAAATGGCAAGAGGATCATAAATAATAATAAACGGCCAAAATCACGTAACGATCACACTTAATCTAGATCAATCAACATTGAATACAAATACACGAAAATGAAGACACGTGCTAATTTGGTCAAATCCAACTGTTCGACTGACTAAATGCCACAATGCAAGAAAACAGCAAAAAACAATGACAGAATAACAACAATCACAAAAATGAATGATCCAAAAGTGAAGCAAAAAAAGCAAAAGATGATGATGATGCAGCAGCAGCAGCAGCAGAAGAAAACGAAGGAGAACACTAAAAGTAAATATATATTTAGTTCTAATGAAAATGTTCCTACTATGTATTAATTGAAACAACAGAAAAAAAAATTGAAAAAAGAAAAAAGTATTTAGTTTGTAAGTAGCTTACTTATTGGCCGTATGTGTCGGAGCCGACGGACACGTTACAAAGATTCAATGTTCCAGTGCACAGAATCGAATAAAGAATGCGAAAACGACAGATACATCGTTTGCAAGGCCATCGCTCATGATGGCATCGGTCGGACCGGATGTTGAAACGTTTTCGCAGTTCTGTTACATACCGACAAACTGATAAGTGCGCGCAGTAAAAAATTTACCATTAAAAAAAAAATCTATAAATATTATATTTGTGTAGCTATGTAGGCGTATACATAGAAAATATATATGCATTCTCTCTCCTCGATGCCGATCACTTTGCACGGCCATCCTGGGCACAGACACACACACACTCTCACACACACAAACTGGAAACACTCATTGATTTCTTTTAATGAACTTTTCCATATTTTCTTCTTCTTTCATTTCGTTATTTTTAACATTTTCTTTGATCGGGTGTAAATTATTCAATTGAAATTATCATAATCTTCATACAAATACTGCCAATATTTGCCCAAAAAAAGATACGTAGATATCCACAGACATCATAGTTCATCTTACAACGAAAATAATGAACATTTCTATCTCCTCTGTGGCCAAAAAAAACCGTTTTACAGTGCAATCCTAACCAGCCGAGAAATGAGTGTTTCATTAGCCTCATTGAACACTTTACATACATGTATTTCCGTTTGATGCACCACTATTCTTTTTGTCATTTCGCAATTTTTACGTTTTGTTCAAGTGTGAGAAATTCATACCGAACTGCATTCAATCAATTTTGTTTACAATTCATTTTGCGTGGAAATTCTCATTTTAAAACTGCTATGTTAGTTGAATTTTATTTGTTTGCTTACGTACGCAAGCGTTTCATTTCTAAGTGATTAAACATTATGCATATATAACAAAATAAACTAAAAAAAACTAATACATACGTATTGTCAATATTGCCAAATAATGTAGTGAACTAAAAATGAATGACAACAAAAATGAAAATCGGAACCACGGAAAATTGACTAAGGCGGCGATTAAACATAAAATAAAATAAAATAACATAACAAACACACTCACACAAATACATCCAATGGAGAAATATGAATGACATACATGCATCAAATACACACGAAAAAACACATTTTCGAAACTATGTGCAATCATTAAAAGAATAAATACATTTTTCGTTTTTTTTGTGCGACTATGTTACCTACATTGTAATCTGTAATTTTAAAATGCGAGCTTTTCAAACACAATCGACTGGCTCTCGGAAAAAAATGAAAATAACAAAAAAAAACTCATAAAACTGATCATTTAATATTCTTTTCTTTTACGAGTGATAACCATATACAGAGAACAAATAAAAGAGAGAAACAATGGGAGAGCAAACAGAGAGATTAAGTTTTTTTTTAATCGAAATGCATTCAATTGCTATCAAGATGCAACAAAAATATCCCATCACATCTTATTATTTGGAAAGTGTAAAGAAAAATCCATAATTCAAATCCACAATTTTATTCATCTTCAGAAATACTCAGTATGGATCAATTAAAGTTTTTTTTTCTTTCAAGTAATCGAGAGTTTTCATTTCGATTTACCATGCATTTGTTTTCATTTAATTAAATGGATTTTTAAATAAGCTCTTACCCACACCCAGGCACAGTAGCACAGAAAAGAAAATGAAGAGGAAAAAAATAAAACAAAATACACAGGAAAAAGAACTTACGGTAACAATTCAATGTTCACTCACAACATGCAAACTATTCCGTAGAATTGTAATTATTTTCAAAGTCACACAAGGAAAAAAAAAGAATACGAAAAGAACTACAACAATATACATATAAATATAAATACGTATGGTAAATGATATTAAAATACTTACCAATTACTAAAATTATTAGGAATAATTTAAAACAAAATGCATACCAATTAATTTAACATACAAAAACAAGTATTTTCCAAGGGTTTCGTGTATTGAAGAAGTTCCACGAGTGCATACCAAATTGTTTTCTTCTTTATTTGTTGTTGTTGTTCATTTGTCCATTTGAACGCACATCAATTGCGCTCATTCGTAGGATAGATTTATTATTCATTTTGCGCTTTGAGATGAATTGATAATGATATAACGATTGGTTCGATGTCCAACAGCGACACACAAATATTCGGTATCATTGATTAAAATAAATTCCAAATGGCCAACAATCAATGATACGTATAACATGAATATCGTACACAACCACCATATTACCGCATCGAACAGTATTAATTGTACTATATATGTATTCAACTCATTCACAAGCATAATTTCGATTGTTTTTTTTTTCTTTTTATAAGCCAAAATAATATTCAACGCTCCATTTCATAGTGCATTTCGTCTTTTGTTTTTATAAGATATTCATTTCGCATACCAAAACGAATCCATCAAAACCGAACTCAATCTCATACATCGAACATTCTTGGAAAAGAAATATAGTTCCTATTTCTTATCAAAAAATAACTTGAGAGAAAACAAAAATTTTGAGAAAAAAAAAACCAAACACAAAAATATTATATATTATGAAGTATAATTAAGTTAAAATGAAGAATAAAAAAAAAGACGAGAAAAGAAACCATTGAAATCAAGAAAACATGAAAATGGATGAAAGTACTACTAATACAAAAATATTAAACATTATTGAAAACATTTATATTTTACCGTAATTTTAAAAGGTACTATTACTAATGAACTATGTTTAATAATAATAAAATTAATATATAAAAACAAACTTTGAATGGCATTTTCAATCAAATTTTCTCAATTTTCAGCATAACCACACGTTCTATGTGGGCAAGGTTTTTTTTTTATTTCAGTGAACTAATCCTGCAGCATATTTTGTTCAATTGACACAAGTTCAATTGAGTTCTACTTATGTGTCTTTTATTAAAATTTATGAAAAACCATTTCAATTTTGATGCCATATTTTATTTTTCAATAAAATTTTTCTCCATTCAATTTTCTCCGTTCAATTTTTGTTGTAATTAAATAAGATTTTCCGTTATGATTTCGTCCTGAAATCTAATTTCATGTGTCGTTGTGTACACTACTTTACGTTGCGTCTTTCTCAATAAGAAAATATAGTCGTAAACTCGTAAACTTCAGAATTTGAAAATAGCCCGTCTAGACTATGTCTTGCATATGCCAATACGAACATTTTTTCAGGACCTATCAAAATTTGTGTTACAAAATTGAAGATGCCCAGCGCAAATTTGTGACGAATCAACGTTTTAAGTGTAAATTCGCTCTTCACATAAAATTCTGCAGTACTTTTCGAGTAATGATATTAAAATGAAATGATAAATCGCGATTCCGGTTCATATCATCCGATTTTTCTTTGGTATAGTGAAAAATCGACAGTGGCGCAGCTATTATTCCTATAAGGGCATCTGCGCCTTTTCATCATAATTTTCTCTTAAATGAATCGTCAATAAATTCATCTTTTTTCAGCCCGTGTGTTGTTTAGTATTAATGAAAGCGAACTTAAATAAATGATTCAAGTATTTTTCGCACTCTGATCTCATACCTACATCGCTATCGTTGCACTCACTCTACGCGTATTCGTAGTATTATCTCGTGTTATTCATAGCGCCAGAATGTTCGAAATTATTTTCATTTTCGTTGTGTTTGTATTTAAGAATCCGTTGCATACACACACGAACGCGTGTGACTACATTAGAACAAGGTTTACTAGCGATGACAGTAAAACCTTTTCGATTCTATTTTAAAATTCTTCGTTTTATAAAAACGTGAAATAGTGTAAACTGTGAGGTTCGAAATGTGATCACTGTAATAATAAGCAGACGATTCAAATAAAGTTGATCGGAATACGAGATGTTCGATGCGTAAGAGAAAGTGATTGAGATGGGACGAAAGTAAAAGTGGGATAGCGAGAAGATCTGGTGTGAAAAAAAAATCATATAGATCTCTTTTTTGCGCTCGTTCAATCTCCTCCACTTTCCTCCACACATACACCGCATTGTTTATGGTGCACATGATGTAAAAATAAGACAAATGGCTGAACAAAAATACACACGCCTGTCGCTTATGGCATTTTTTTTTCGTTCGCCTGTGAAAAGTATCTAACTCTGGTGCCGCCACTCGGCCGAATGCCTATTCGTATCAATTAATCGAAAGAAGTAAGGGGCAATACGGACTTGTCTTTCTTGCCGCGAATACACATATAAATTATCGTGGTTCACAATATTAAAACTAATCATAAGTTTTGATACGATTCCTCAATTTTACTTGTGAGTGTTTTTCAATTTTCAAAACCGAATTTCTTTTTCTTGCATTTTTGCCGTTGTTTTGCTCCTTTTTTCCTCTCTCTCTAATCGAGCAAATAAGTGTATTGATGTTGTTTTTCCACCATTCGTGCGGATCTGAGATTCTCAATCATTTTGAGATCGTTTTCGATTCAGTTGTGTAGTGTGCGCACGTTGAACGTTCTATAAATCTGTATAGATTGAGTAGAAGAAATCTGTGCGTTTTATTATTTTCATTCTCTCTCTTGAAACAGTTTTTTTTGGGTGAAGATTTGTGGCACGAAAGAATTATTACATAATTTCCTCTTTTATTTGAACCGAACGAAAATAAAAAGAACCGAAAAACCAATTTATTTAGTGCTACTGATTGGCTTAAGCAAATTCAAGTTTAAAAGAAAAGAAAAACTAGAAAAGCGTTTGGCGTGAAAAAAAGGGAACAACCATTGCAAGCCGTAGAGTAAAAATTAAAGTAGTTCGAGTTGGGCGTAGTGCGTTAGTAGGGAAAGCATAGCAAACCCACCAAATAAACGTCCAGTTCAATCTAATTAAATCGTTATCGATTTTACATATTTCAATAGGAACACGAGAGTTAGCAGTTCGATTTAAAGCAACAAATTGTGACATTTTTTTGAAAACCGAAAAACGAACATTTCTTTGAGATGGAGGTATCTGAAACAGCAACTGGACAAAATGTTCAAAAATCCTCATCGAGCCAATCGGAATCTGTAAACGAGGTTAGTTTGGAATTTTTCTTCTTCCGAATTTGTATTTGAATCGAACACATTTTGATGAGTTTTAAATTTAACCGCAACTGTGACATGGTTTGATGGAAGTTTGAATCAAATGCCGCATTAATAAAAACAGACAAAAAATTAACTCGAGTTTGCTGGAATATAAATGCTTCTTAACTAAACATTCGATACAATTTCGCTAAATGGAATATGAAATAAAGATTGATTTTTGAATGTGATTTTGATGAAATTGCTGCTCTAGTTATTTATGTGCTTTTTTCAATGTAAAAAAGATAACTCTTTGTGCTTCCACAACCGAAATATATTTATTACTTCCATTTCGAGAAATTTTTCGCAAATATTGACATAATTGTAATATATATGCGTGGGCTAAAACTTATTAGGATGCGCTGTGCGCGTACATACTGCATACTATTTTCATGCGATTCAATACTATATGATAATTGCGAAAAGAGCATCGACACATTCGATCCAATTTTCGATCACTGCACTTGCATAACACGCTAGATGCATTTTGCCGATTGCAAAAACCAATCTCATCTCGTCTCGTATCGTCTTAAAGAGTCTGATTGATATTGGAATAGAGGACACCGAAAGATCACACACAAATTCAACACAAAATTCAACACGCTACATATCGTTAATCCAACCTAAATCCGCTCACACACGACTGAACATTGTGTACGATGGTCAACGATGATATCAACAGATTGCGGGGTTTTCACAAACAACCGATAAAATTCTGGTCCTGCTCTACTCTCATCAAACATAAATTATATAATTCTGAATCGACAAACATTTAATGTGCACCGAGTCTTTTTTTGTGTGTGCCATTCTTCTTCTTCTTTGTCGCCGAATAAATCATTCAATGGTGTTAATAATGCCATTTTGACATTCCATTTTACATCAAATGAATAAGAAGCCACATAAACACGCCGCAACCGTCGCAGCAGCCAGCCGCTTTTCCGCCTTAATTGTACAGAAATTTTATGAACATGCTTGCTAATTGCCAATCGCCACATGTACATATGTCTCCAAATCATTGTTTTGAAGTCAGTGCTTGAGTGTTTGTTTTGGTTAGAAATTACCGTGACGAATCAAACATCGCACATTTTTTTCTTTTAAATAAATAAAGGCAATTTTTCTGTCAATTAATTACAAATTCATACCATTCATTTAATTAAAAGATCAGTTGTCGTGGCGAATGATGGCAATACGAATGCTTGCAAGGAGCAAGCGTTCACTTTATCAGAAATTTTTTTCTATTAAAATCGTGAACTAAAGTGCCAAAGTAATTATTTGTGTGTGGTGGCGTATTGCCGTGCTACTATCGCCTGATGCCATGCTTTGTTGATGTTATTTCAATTGATCGATGTGTGTTGTGATCCATTTAGAAAGAAAGAAAGAAAGGAGTTTAATAGTGCTGAAAAAGTGATATCATCTCAGAGTGAGACAAACAAGTAAAAAATCGGCCTCGAGATGATGTCATTCTCTTTTGAAATGCGACTTTCGATTTTCTGAAAACATTTGTTTTGACATTCATTTTTATTAATAACAAAATCCAAAACAGTGGCGTAACTAGCAAAAGTCTTGGGGGGGAGCGTTCTTCCATTTTTATTTTGTCTGAGTATCAAAATTCAAGGAGACCTGTTGAAGATACTCGAAATGATCATATTTGAGTTCTGTAAACAACCAAAAGAAAAGTCTTCAAATTTGATGTTCAGCCGTCTTCGAAGAAAGTGATTACGTCCTCTCCTCCTAGTTACGCCACTGAGCCAAATCATCCATGAATGTACATAAATAAAGCGGTCCTATTGAAACGAGGTTCTTTCTCACCTCGAAGGATGCAGTCAATTGCAATTGCTGTTTAAATGGCTTTATCAATGTAACCAGTTGATTCCGAAATGGATGTTGTTTTTGTTGTGTTGTTGTCGGCATGTTCATTTTCATTATCGTACAACAAACACTTGAACTATGCAATTCAAACTCAACTGAAATTGAAATAGAGAGAAACCGAAGCATTTCTAGAGCGGTGATCTCTTTGACATGTGGACATTAATTTTTCTTGTAAATATGATATAATTTTATTTATTTTTTTCCGGAATGGGTTCAATGTTCTGCATGTTCCATACGCGAGAACTATGTGCTACCGTGCCTATGTACACAATTTTAGATGTTTGCAATGTGTTCCCTTCTCCCCAGGCTGAAAAAAAACTTTTTGTTGTAAATGCATCATCTCCTCATTATGGCGAACGTATATGATTCCTCAGTTTATGGTTGCTTATGTGCAATGCGTATATACACTTGAAGCGCATTAACATCGATCTGTTTCGTATCAAATTTGATTCCTATAGATTTTCAATTGATTTTTTTCTCTCTCCCTTTCCTCCTCTCTCTCTCTCTCTCTCTCTCTTTCTCTCTCTTTTCTTTCTTTCTATCATTTCATGTGTCCCATCATGTCGAATGGGTACAATTTAGCAAAGTTTTGAAAAGTTGGCTCATGGCACGGTTGCAAGTAAATTGCAAATGCAAAAAAGTTCCGCACAAAGCGTTGAACAATCGGCCAATTCATCAAAATTTCAGTCGATGGACGTTGCAAAATCACTGCAAACAACGGAATCGGTATCGACAAATGTGGTAAGCACATCACAACGCACCGTCAAAACGTCATCATCCGTCATGCAGAGCGTGAAAATCGGCGTTTCAAGCACGGAAATTACCGAATTTGAATTTGAATGAACATGTCACAATATTGTGCGCCACACGATAAGCCGCCTAGATCTAATTGGCCGTTCATTTTCGTTGCGCTAGCAAAACGATTTGCGATCACAAATTTACACAAACGATGTTAGTATGTATCGAAATGTTTTTTTTCGTTTTTTTTGGGTCCATAACGCAATTTGAAAACCAAACACAAAATTTGATTTAGGGTTTAGCAAATCATATTGAGGCACGTGTGCGATAACTTTTTCATTTTTCAATAAAGGTCATTTTGATGAGTGAAAGCAAGGCTATTTTTTGTTTGTCTTTTTCTAGCCGCTAATTTATAGGCAAATTCACACAGAATAAAGAACAGTTTCAGCGGTTGCCGGAAGTGGTATGAATTTGAAGAGAAAGAAAGAATAAAGAAAAAGTGTGTACATCTGTAGATCAAATATTCGCGAGTTGGATTCCACAACAACTGAATTGAAAGACTTTATTATGTTTTCACCGACGAGGCGAACTGAGTCTTACGAAATATAGCATTTAGTGAGTTCGAGGAGAAATGATAAAATGTTTTATAAATAAATAGAACTAGAAGCCGTTGACACAAATAATAATTGATCACGAATGTCGGGTGGGCCCGGGCATAAAATAAACAACGGTGCTGAGTGGTCGTTGTTGTCGTCCGCGAGAAAAATGAAAGAATGAAAATCAACACATGAAGCCAAGTATTGTTCTAAGAAGTTTTCATTCGTTTTTGAATACACACTTGGACAAAATGCTGGGTTTTATGTGCTATCACAGTTGAAATTTTATTATTTCGTTATTGATAGTTTGTTTTTGGCGGTCTGGTTGCCAGTTAGAAAATCTGGTGGGGATAAATTATTTGAAGACTGTGTGTGCACATTTTTCGCACCAACGACGCGCCACTAGTACACGCTTTCTATCAACGATATAGTCGCCAAACACATTTTTCGTGTAGGATTTGCAAAACATTTTACTAAGCAAAACCACATAGTAAATCCATATGATTTGTTTGGGTGTATTCTCGTTGAGAGATCGAAATTCATTTACAAAATGGGAAGAAAAAAACAAATCAATAAAGCAATCATCATAATAACAACTTTCGTCGGTATTCAGTGTCTGGTGTGGTTACTAGCAAGCAGAATGTTGAAATTCAACGGAAAACGTCTTCTCCGAACAAAAATGGTCCATTTCCATATTAAACGGAATATGCAGCTGTTCAGCTAAAACGAATGGACTTCATACGGAAGCTGAATGAAGCGGCAAAGGCGTAGAAAATAGTGGCAAAATGATCGTTTACATGTCATTTACACGGTCGGCGATTGTCATTTTCTTCTCACTCACAAATAATAATCCATATTTTATTTTATTTTTTATTAATTACAGAATTATTTATTTCAACCGATATGTTATTCATTTAGTTTGCGTGCTCTTTTCATCAGCTCTCATATTGTTCAATAAGCTCATATGAATTTATTTCGAATTCAATGCTCTGTGACTCATTAAAAAGAATAATTTTAGCATTTGGATGACGCTTAGCACGTTCAAGACAATAAAAATTGAAACACTTAAAATCACCACCGAATGTACATTTTTCAAGCTTGCGATCTTCTTTTTTTTCATGGAGCAATTTTGCTCTCTTTGCTATTTTCTCACTCTCTTTTACGCGCGCGATAAGGACAGCGCTTGCAACTTAACCAAATAATAGTATGACAAAATCAGGACAAGTGTGTAATAAAGAGAGCTATAACGTGGCATCTGTTTGCTGTTGTATCTTTGATAAGCTATAAAAAAAACCAGAGAAGTCTGAATAAAACTGAACCGAAATAATTATGCGACCATTTTTCTCGTTAATTTAATACATCTAGACGGTTGTAAAGACTGAAGAAAAGCCTGTTGCCAATGGTGATAGTGTAGAAACTGTTTCAGTTTCGGCAACTATATCCCTTGCACCAGCCGAAAATGAAACAGACAAAAAAGATGATGAAACAGTCGAGGAAATTGTTGAAGTGATCGAAGTAACGGACGATGAAAGCGGAGAGGAAGTTACCGAAGAAGTGGTGACCACGTCAACCACAACAAAAGTTGTGGCAAAGGCATCATCCGTTGATGCGTCAAATGAAAAGGTTGAAGAGGTAAAAGCTGTTGAGAAGCAAGCTACGATCGAAAAGCAGGCCACGATCGAAAAGCAGGCCACAATTGAAAAGCAAGCTACTATTGAAAAGCAAGCAACCGTTGAGAAGCAGGCCACAGTCGAAGCTGAAGAATCGGCGTCTGAAGAAGAGGTCGAAGAAGAAGAAGAGGAAGAGGAGGAAGTGACTGAAACTAAAACCACCAAGCGTGATAGTGTTGCCTCTGTCACTACTAAACCAGAATCTTCTGCTAAGCCCAAAGACGAAATCAACCAAGAAGAAGTGACCAAGGAAGTTACAGAGTCATTGGGAGAATTGAAAATTACCGAAAGTGCGGCAAAGACGAGTGAAACTGATATTAATGAACCTCAGCCAGCGAGATTTCCATCAGCTGCTGAAATTCAAGCGGTCAGACGTGCTTCAGCTGTTGCAGAGGGCGCTCAACGTCCGATTCAACAAGCTGTGTCAATTCCACAAACAGCTCCTATTCAACAAACCGCTCCAATTCAGCAAACAGCCATGATTCAACAGACCATTTCATCTACCCAATCATCGGCTCCAACGACTTACATCCAACCACAGCCAACGCCAACCGCATATGCTCAACCTGCACCAGCTTCATACCAGCAACAAGCTCCAACCCAAATTCCACAGGAAAATATTCGCAATCAATTGCAAGAAATCGTGTCGGATATCGATCGTGCGGTCGAAGAACACAAATTGTTCAGTCAAGCGCCCCAGCCAACTGTGCGCTCATCAGTCACAACACAGAATTATACTACTGAAACATGGAAGGAAACATCGAGCGGTGGAATTCTACAGAAACCAAGCTACTTTTATCAGGTATGTTGAGTGATCGCTGTGAGCTTTTGATCAACGGTTTTGTTCGCTTGGGGAAGTTTTGAACCAAACTCTATTGAATGCAACTTGACAAAGACAATCAGGGCCAACAAACAATATTCCAACTACACAAAAACGGTAAAGGTAAATCCATCGTGATGTTCGTCTGAACCATCAACAAGTTGTCGTGTTTTTAAAGTTTCACGTAGAACAGTTTAATCAAACATCCCCTGAACCGATGTTTGCCGAAAAGAAAAACAAATCGAATCTTTGAAAATAGTCCGCTTATTTTGTCAGCAACTTGTTTTGCTACATTTTCTCCTCTTTCAATTCATCCGTAGCGTCTATTCGATAGCTATTTATTTATCTACATCTCGCTTTATGTTAACATTTGTTGAAAAGATCGAAAATTCAACGGTGGATGGGTCGTTTTATAATCAGAATATTTATTTATAAATCGCAGCGCCAATGGACATGAGCAAGCAAATTTGAAAGGCAAACGAAAAAAAAGCAAATGAACTGTTTGCAAACTCGATCGAATTCGGAATAAATGAATGATTGATTAGTGGTTTTCCTCAAGTTCATATTCTTCTTTTCATAAAATTGGCAGCAACAGTTGAATGCCAACTACAAACATTAAATTCAAATGCTAGACAAATCATACATATAGCTGCTCAAATGCAAAGACAATCAATAAATAAACCGCTGAATATAATTATCAAATATTTTAAATCCGATTTGAACATTCTACTCAAATGGAACGTCAAAGCCAATACGGCGATCTAGTAATTTGTTTATTCGTTTTGACACAGAGGTTGCAAATAATTAACGAAAAATTTAAGAAATTTTTTCGCAATGAATGTTACTTATTCGACGCACTGAATTTGGCCGCGTTTTTTTTTAAATCGCAGAGTCGACAAGAAAAGGCACACTCATCTATTCTTGAGAAGAAATCCAAATTCATTTTTTTCATAGTTTTCGGTATATATACAATTTTTAGAAAAACCAAGAAACGGCCGACAGCAGCCGAATGAGAAAGAGAGAGAGAGAGATTTTGTGTGAAAAAAGAACTGCATTCGCGCTCATGCCCAAAGAACCTGCGTGTGTGTTTCTCGCTTGTTACTCTCGTTAACGACACGTTCTACTTACAGCCTTTGCATACTTTTCTCGGTTTAATTTTAGAACGGAATGTACGACGCATCAATGTGTTTGTTTCGCTGAACATAAAGCGCGTTGTATTTCAGTATTCCACTGAATAATATATACAAAATATCCAAACACATGTATGGGCTTTGCTCGGCCTGCATATGCATATCGCGCTTCACATTTGCCAAAACTATACAGCGATATTCTTCTCTTTCATTTTTTTCGCCGCAGATTGAAGCGCTCGAGAAATCAACAAAAATAAATAGAAAATGGTCAGCGAACAGGAATAACGAAAGCAAGCCCAGCGAACAAATTAAGAGAAAAAAATCACTTTCGAAAGAGAAAAAAAACACGCACACATTGGATGCCCGTCGAAATGAAAATTAAATGAGCTGAATTTTGATCGAATCCTCATTCAAACGTACAACACATGCCACATGACCAACGTTAAAATGAAGAGAAAAAAATGAGATACAAACCGTATGCTGTGAAAAGCATACGAGACCACGTAAAATTCGAAAATCTGTGAAATATAGTCTAGAATGAAGAAAATATAAACGAGCACAAAATATGCAGAGAAACGAATGAATGCGAAGAAATTCGGCCGAAATAACCATCATAATTTCGCCGTTGTTCTGCGCGGGATTTTCCGTTTTCTTCTTCTTCATTTTGATTCTATAGTTGTTGTTTCTCTCACTTTTCGGTGAATACCTTTAGCACGTATTTTTCTCAAGCATCGTGTTTTGTAGCATGTTAGCCGCCCGTTCGCTCTCAATATTTGTATAGCTATCGCTATTCCACGTCCAAACGGTGTCGAAAAATTAACGTTCGACGAATTGCCATTCGTGTTGATCCCATAAAGTGTTAATGGTTTAGCGAGCACATCGACTGTTGTTGTTATCACTGAAGCTATTTTTCCCGAGGAATTATCGTCTTTGGCATTACACTATTCCCATTGTTTTACTTCGTTTTTCATCCGTTTGATTCGTTTGTGTATACCAAGAAGAAGAGAAAAATTATTATTTGTGTTTCGCCACAATTCGGTTCCATTAGTGTTTTTGTGCGTTTCTCGGGCAAACCAAATAGAAAAAAAAACTCCGCATTGTGTTAGGAGGAACGAAAGAAAAAAACATTCTCACAAATGACAAGACTGCGAAAAAACAAAAGTTATTTGTGCTGTAAAAAAGTGACATCGGAAATCAAATTACAGTTTTTATGGCTGACAATTTGAACAAACGAACGCGACAAGCATTCTTTTAATTACAAATTCCCATTTTGTCGTAGAACAGATAACGAAAATAGCCTCGCATTTGTGCGCACATAAAAAAATATCCGCTGTTTTGTGCAAGCAACAGAGAAGTGAAGGAAGAAAAAAAAATTGAAAAAGCCATTTGCTGTGGCGGAGGGATAAACGATAATTACTCGTCGGAAGATGTAAATTCAATGTGCTGATGTGCCATTTGTCTTGTTTATTTTTAATGCGAAAGCCTCAAGTTTAATTTCTTGTAAAAAGTATAGAAAAAACGAGATTATTTTCACTACGCCATCGTCCTTTGGAAATTATTTTTCCCCATTGTATGCTCACCCCAGCCAAAACATTGTTCTTGGCATCGCAAACAATACTCTAGTTTTTTGTTTCCATTCTCTGTACGCACTAAGCAATTGAGGTAATTATTCAAAATGCAACGTTCGCTCAGTACACCCTCGCACAATCCGAACCGTCTATCCAATCGAAATGTAAACCAAACGCCAGTATTTCAACGTCGTCGCTCGTACAGCACCAGTGGTAACTGTATTATCGAAAAGAAACGTGGCTTCAAGCCATCGGATCGATTTGATCCGGTGAAAAGGGAATTTTTGGTGCAATTGGGACGGAAATTTTGGTGCAGACCGGTAAGAATCTCCACAAATTCCACCTTGAATTTTGCTTCACCATGCTTTCTCAATGCTCTGGCTCTCCGATGGAGTTATGGCATGAGAGAGTGACCTATTTATAGCCACGACATCATAATGCTCGACAACGAAAGAAATCAAAAACAATTCTCATCGACTGATGTTGAATATAATAAGTCTTTGAATATGCAACAAAAGGGAAAACAAATGTTATGTGTGAAAAAATGCAATGAATTTTTTGTGCGGTAATTTACTAAATTGAAAATACGAGCAATGTTACACAAAAAAATGTAAGCATGCCAGTGGGGGCGAGCTTGAATGAAATTTCGCTACATTTATCACTGATTAATGATTGCCAGCTTCACAATAAGTCAAAATTCATTGAAACACGATTTATTTCAATTTTCTTTTTCATCTACTTCGGCGACCTTCTCGAGGATCCTTATTAAAAAGTTGAAAATAAATGTTTCTCCAAATTTCTATCGTTATAAACACACACACACACACACACGTACACTTACACATCCATGCACAATTAAATGGTTGCGTATCAAGGGTATTCTCTTTTCATGCTTCGAAGCGAACGATTCAAGGATAACCAAACTATTGTTTTGAATACGATTAAACTGTTGTCAAGTTGAGCATTTCGCATGGAAAATATTTTTACTTAAATTTTATTCTCTCTAGATTTTCAATCAAAAGCGAATCGGATTCATACTTCCAAGATCAAAGACAAGAAACTTTTGCATTTCAAAAGCAAGCCCAATGTCCAGATCGGATGGAAAGCGATCAAACGATTAATGCCTGTTATACAATGTATTTTGTGGAATACATGTTCTGCTAAATATAAATATCAAATAGAGTCGAATAGAGAACATACGAACACACACGCACAAGCACACTCTTACTCTCGCTACTTAAATAGCTGTCAGAAAAAAGATTAGTTAACGCTGTTTAACGTAAACGCGGTTGAAACAGAAAAAAAGCGCGGTTGAAAACATTCAAAATGAAAATATATTGACATAAGGAAATCCAAAATACGAAAATTTCAAATCGGGAACAGAAAACGAAATGTATATGGGAAATTGGTTCAAACCACAATCAAATCGGAAATTATCTAAAGATAATTGTTGCACAATATTGAAAACAAATCATTTACAATGCGGTTTGCATCAAACGTTTTGTAGGAAGATAATACATCGTCCGCAACATCTTCCTCAAAACCAATCGATTTACAAAAAATCTTTACACCGGCCAGTGATGCAGAAGTCATTTTACCAAATAAAAACCGTAAGTAATTTTGATGTGTTTTGTTTACTTATTCGATCTTCAGTAGTTTGCGTTGCTTTGGTCTTCTTCTGTTTTTTTTTTTTGGTTTGGATTTGATCTATATGGGCACAAGGGCTCATTGCAGAGTGTTCATTTTTTTCGTTGTCATAATTAACCGAATCATTTACTGCCATATTTCGAAATTGAACGTAAGTTCAAGGTTATGCAATAAAAAAAATGCACATTCATCATTAAACTAAATCAATTTAGTTAAACAAATCAACACACAAGGTCGAATTAATTTTCCAGAAATATTTCGCACATGTTTTTCCTCATTTCAATTTTTATTAAATGATTCCCTTAGAAAAATTAGACGTAGAATATATTTTGAAATGATTAATGACGATATGGATATTCCCGATTGATTAATGTGCTCTTCATTCATCAATTTCTTTTGTAGTTTATTTATGTTTATTCTTTAAACTGATTTATGAACACTTCAATTAAACGATTTCTTTGTCGATGTTTGTCTCTCTTCACACCCATGTTGAAAATATGCCAACGAAAAATCGTTTCGGGTGCGATTTTCATGGTGAAACCGATAAACTGTAACCAAAAAAAAAACAACAAAAAAACAAACAATCAAATCAAATTAAACCCAATCACAATCATCGACATGTAGGAAAGTTATATGCATCATCGGCATTCTTTACGCCCGGACTGCATCCAACTGTGGAAGATCAAGTGGAACTGGCACGTCGCATCTCATCATCGCTCAGTGACGCCAACAATAAGCTATCCAAGGGACAAACAATGTACGTCAACAGAAAGAAGCGATCCGTAAAATGGGTACACGAAGGAGAAGGTATTTGTTTCACATTTGCTATGCACATAATCCAACATTTCAATTTGACTTTTTGCCCACTCATTCCGAGTGGGGCGTATGATTTAGCAACTAAAAGGTAAACCAAACGAAATGAACTGTTTATTCTCCTGAAGAAACCGACAAATTTTCTAGAGAATGCAAGGAAGAATCTTGAAAAAAATCCGAGTTTAAATCATTACAAATTAAGACTGTGTTAAAATATGAACTAAACCAGGATTTTGGTTCATGAAAATCAATTTAAGAAACATCCATCAAAATGTGAGAAAAGCGTTATTTCTGCGAAAATTTCATTCACTTCGATTTCTTGTTTTTACTTTCATCATTTCATTGGCTTTAAATGATCAAATACAAAATAACAAGACTTCAACCATTTCAATTGGAGCAAAAAAAAAACGGATTATCTTTTTCTGCGTCTGCTTTTATCCATACACAATTAAAACACAATTCAGTTGGCTCTGGGCCAACAAGATTATTTTCGTTGCTTGCTTTCGAGATGATTACTAAAGTTTAATAGCGAAAAAAAGACAACATCATTTAAGTAACGAATATGAGCAATGCTTGGTCAGTAAACAAAAACATAACAATGAGTTCTCATAAAATTGCTTGAGCAATCGATTTTTCTTTAAAAAAAAAATGGCTTGCGTGACGTGAATCTGCGCTTGGTGTTGAATGAGCCCACGCACAATAAAAACACAACAACGTTCAAGCAATCATTTATATCAATTTCCATTTTATATATTATCATCAATCGACGCAAATCAAACAAAGGCAAAAACGAAAATGTTAACTTGAATGGATTTGGCGACTATCAAAAGCCGTCATCCCAATACAGCGAAGAGAAATCGTATTCGACTCAACGATACGAATCGAAAATACCATTGAAATTGGTAATGGATCCGCGAGGCGTTGTGCAAGATGTTCATAGCCAGGGCATCACATATGACCATAGCGGTGGAATGCTATCCCCCGATAAATGTGCTGAACTGGTTAGTGCTTTGCACACAGATACACCAAAAGGAAAAGGTTTTTATCTGGAATTCAATGGAATTCAGAAGCAGCATTTGGCATAATACAATTCGAATATGATTTGATTTTGTTCCGTAGGTGCTGAACTCTTTGCAAAGAGACGCAAGCGATCCGAAAAATGGATTGTTGACGAAACTACTCGATCGGCAAACAATCCAGCCGCCACTTCGTACTCAGCTGGACCGACACAAATCTACGACACCAATCAATTTGAACAAAGTAGCTACCAGCAATCGGTTGATAATCAGGTAACTGAATTAGATGTGAATAAATAATATTCGGTGGTATTTATTGGAAAAGCCAACGCTTGTGACTTGCAGGCCAATTATCAACAACAACATGCATGGGAAGCGCAACAACGAAAAGATGATTATTATAATGATAACATTTATTCTTCGTCACCGAGCGGCTACAGGCCAACGTACCAACCACCGACTCCAGCAACGGCACCAGCATCGTTGCCAAGTCAATCATACAAATTGCCCCAAGTGAGTACACACAATTCAGCTCAAGCGTATATCCATCAGCATAAATAACCACCATTTTCATTTCATCAAAGCAGCAGCCGTTGCAGCCGATTAAGCGAACTCCAAACAATCTACGCGACTTGGCATACAAGCCAAGCATACCACAAGGATGGAATGCACCACCCACGAAACTACCAAACGGTAATTTTATCCATTCAAAATTGATCAAAAAATGCATTTTGATAAGGCTAGGAAATTGGTAGTTACTTTTTTTAAAAAGATAAAAAAAAACAAAAATTTAAATGCACGTGTGGCTTATTGAAGAAAAATTGCAATTGCAGTAATTTATATAATTTTCTGCTTGCCAACAATATTTGGTTAATTTGATATACTTCTTTGATTTGAACACATTTCCACATGTTTGAAAAAAAACCATAAAAAACTGCAACCATTTCAAACAGTTTTGAGCAATCAAAATGACACAAAGTTAGAAACAGATGAACTAGCATCAGACTTGCTATCCGCCATTAAGGAGTTCGAAGAGACCACTGCGAAAATAACATTAACACACCAAAACCACGAGACCCAGCAAAATACTTTGGACGAAACACAAACATCGTGTAGAACGGAAGAGAAAGGTCCAATTGATTATTTTAATCGCACAAAGGAGTCGTTGCGGCATGTACCACAGATGGAGCAGGATACACATAATCATGACCAAAAGATACAGTCTACAAATGAAGTGGATGAGAGTGAATTGGGTGACGCATATGTGAAAATACCAGTGCAGCAATTGATTAACACATTTGAGCAGCAAATGCGTTCAATCATTAAACAGAAGGTGAATGAAAATATTCAATTGAATATGGACGGTGGTACAACCACAACCAGCAACAAAATATCGACAACATACATGAACAAGGAGCATCGCTACGGTTTTACTGGAAAGGAAAATGAGATGCGAGCAAGTAAACAATATTCAACGAACACAACGAGAATGAGCAATGATGTTGAGGCGATCCAGCAACAGCAAGCGTTCGATAGAGTCGAATGTCAAATATCAAACTCGATAGATGAACAATATCAATGGTTAACACAGTCGCAGAGTACAACCAGCAGCACTGTTCAACAATCGTACGAAGAAAAGAGTATCGAATCGGCGAGCAGTCGATTCAATTCCAATGAAAAGCAATCGGATGAAAATATCGATGGAGGCAAGACCTAGCAAATATAATTTCTTACCCGTTTGCATCTGTTGTTTCTCGTTGATGACTATTTTACATATTTTTAACGACTTACTTTTACTGCTATGACTCAATGGTGTCATAATTAATGAAATCATATTAATAACGTTATTAGCATAAAACGAATACTGCAACAAAAAACAAACAAACAATATTCCCTCCCGAAGAGCCGATCGTCCACACAACAACAACTGAAAAACTCTGTCCATAACACTTTTTCACCCGGTGTTTGATCTAAAAACAAATTGCACTCTGTAGTATGGATGTTCTTCAAATTGGTCCTTGTTCAAAATAATACACCAAATACTCTCGTACATAACCGTGTATCTGTTGATAGGAAAATGTTATTGCATGGAAAAGACTCGTACAAATGAGCATTAGATGTGTTTTTGTACTAATCTGTTAAAATTACATTCAATATTTTGTTCCCCTTTTTTTCCACAACAGAAATGTTTACACCACCAGAAATCCCGTTGAGTGGCTACACTCCACCACGAACAGATGCTTATTTACCAAAAACCGCATCGCCATCATATCCTCATCAATATGAGAATACATTTGCTCCTCCACCGCAAACCGATTTGTACCATTCGCCAAGTGGAGCAGCACCACCAAGCTTCAGGAAAATCGATCCATCGCAAGTGTATGGCACGCAATTCCCTGTGCAAAATTTTACGCCAAAACCGTTCACCCCATCACCGATTGCACTGGAAAAATTGGCCATCTTTGAACAACAGCCGACATTGCGGCAGCCTGTTATTCGTCGTCCATTGACCGTACCGAATCAACGCGTGAAAAATGTATCACCAACTCCATTCGGCGGCAGCAGCACACAATTCAACTCATATCCAAGTGCTCCATGGTAAGTCATGGCATTTTTCACATCGAAATTTTCATATCAAGGCATTCATCACATTTTATATTTTATTTTGTTCAGGTCTGGTGCTTCTGCTAATCCTCCTCCTCCATCAAATCGTTTGTCTGGCTGCTCATTCTCTTCATCGCCGTCGAGTTACAATCCGAGTGCCGGTAGTGTACCGTTTTCATCTCAACACAGCACTCGCATTTCATCGTACGCATCGTCATCGCACCAGGATAACTATAATCGGGCAGCACGTGGATGGGGACAACCGAATGATTTCTATAAACCAATCGCCTTCACTAAACCACAGGCTGTTAATCTTTCTTACACCGATTTCTAAATCAAATGCTTACCGAGGTTTGATGCGAACACACACACACACACCATCAGAGAAAGCAGGCGCTTGTAAAATGTTTTATTTGTTTCTTTAAGTCAAACAAACTTTATTTTTACTTGATTTTCCATTTCTTTGTTTTTATCAAATAAAAAAAATGTATAAATAATATTTTATGTTCGATATATACTCGATACAGTGGTGGTCTGCCTGCAATTATATCTCACATAAGAACATACCATTTTTAACCGCGCTTTGAATAAATCGAGAGACAAAAAACTATGAAAACGAACAAAAAAAAATATTTTCGAGAGTGTAAAATTGGGTTTATAGCTGGCTTTTGCATCTTCTCTGTTCGATTTGACGAAGATGTGTGTATTTATTGTTAATTGTTTCTCGGTTAAATAGATACTTAAAATGATGTTTGAATAAAATTTAATAAAGAGATTACGTTTTTGATGCGATTTCTCTTTCTGATTTGTTCGGTGTTTTCTCTTTTCCCGAAAAAAATTACGGATCTTTTACGAAATAAAATTAATAATAACTTTAATTAAACTTAGGAAATATTACTACTTTTTTACAGGGTTTAGATATTTCAGCAAACACACCGATTCTTTCTTAAATGTTGACATACTTCAAATTCTGTTACTCGTCACAATATATATTGTTTGGCGAGCGCACGTAGAAACTTGATTTGTCGAGTTGTGGCAGCTTCTCTTTTCACCTCATCGTTATTGTTAGCGTTCAGCTCTAATTGTCCTAACGCTGCAATCTGCGGTGGAAAGTACCCAAAATGGAGATTAATGAACAGTTCTTCACAAAAAAGGAAAAAAAAATCCAATATCATACCGCCAACTGTTTCCGTGCATGTTCTCCACGTTTGGCTAGGAAATTGACGATAAACTCCAATAAAGTTGCATCCCAAATACAGTTATAATAAGAGTCCATTGCATCGGAGAAAACAAACGATTTGACTGAAATGCTACTGAATGTTGCCCGATCCGAAAGTGTTTTGAATGCCAAACTGTAGTCAATTTCCTCTAGGAACTGTGGAATAATGCAAATGGATCATCAACCAACCATTATTTATTAATTATTATCAATGATGATTTAGTTAGCTAAAGAAATAACGTTACTTGACAGAGTACATAAGCAGCCATATAGCAACCCAAATTAGAACAACATTTAATCATTCTCCGTATGATATAATCATCAATGTTTTGTTCCAAATTCACCGTATAATACTCAGATCCAGTTAAAATCGCATTCACATACGAAGACATTGCGGCTTCATAATTTTCATTGCCTATTGTAGAAACAGAAACGGAAGCGTTGTTTCATGAAAAAAATATGATTCAAGTGAATAGGTGTGTGACATACGAAATTCAAGATCGCCTTCAATTCGAATCCATGGAACATGCTGTGGATGCCACTGCAGCGCTTGTTTCAATGTTATATTCAGAATCTCAATCACTATGTCTATATTGTAGCTCATCGGACTGAAATAGAGAAATCATTCAAATTTCAATGTGTTTTTTTTTCATTTCAAAATTCTAAAATTCTTTTTTTGTAACATACTTTGTGACAATCGTCGGCCATAGATTCATGTATTCGCCATTGATTTCACGATTTAAATTATCGTCCAAAATATTGTGTAATCTTGCAAACAATGTCATCATTATGGTGATGGCTAAGAAGAAAAGCAAACGATGCGGTTTGAAATGATGCAAATATGTACAGGAATTCATTTTACTTACGCAATGGATCGCGAAGTTTCTGAATGAATGGCAGTAAATTTGTATTCACAATGACCGCAGGAGAATCTCGAATGCCGTAGCCACTATTATCATTGTTAAAATGGTTTCGATTCCGGTTTGAAAATGGATTGATTCGGTCACGTTCATTGTTATGGCTGTCATTACCGCGATCCACATCATCAACATCCATGTTCCTTGAACCATTCCCATTGCTGTTGGTATTATCATCTTGTGTTCCAGCCGCATTCTGATCATCATATTGCATATTAACATCTTGATTTGTTGTATCGTCATTTTCCCTTCGATCCGATCCATCAGCCGCATCATTGGAGTCATCGACTAAAGGAATACACGCAGCCACAATAAATCAATCGGAATATATTAGGTAGCAAATAGCTGTCAAAGTTGTACGTACCTGTATCGATATTATGCTGTGGCGTTGATCGGCCACGTCGATTGATGCCCGACGACGAATGGCCGCCATTTGCAAACATTGGTGCAATCATATCCCAAGCATCGCGGAACACCTTTTTTGACGCAGTCGCCTTGTGCTGTTCAAGCTCGATCATTATTGTTGCAATCGCCGAAAACAATTCGGATGAGGGGAAGCGACGATCGATTCGAACCAGTTCGTTGGCTTCATTCGAATTGATTAGAACTGCTGCACATGAAGGTAAAATTTCGATTCGTGGCGGCACATTTTCGCCATTAGCACTTTTCAGGGCTTGTTTACACTTTGTAATGATTGCATCGTGGTCAACTGGCTTCTTTGGCCACTCCTGCAGATGTTGCGTTGCTTGTGTTAGTAAAACTTCATTGTCGATTAATTTATTGAGCCGAGTTGTGCTCGTATTCGCATCGTGACGTTGAACTTCCAATTTGGCGGCATTCAATAAGTTCAAAGCCACTTTGAACTCCTGCAAAAACGAAATATATATGTTTTTTTTTTGCTTCTGTAAGTCGCATTTTTTCCGAAAGCATCAAACTCACCTGTTTCGATGCGAAATCTTTTGCTTTTGCAATACAGATGTACGAGTAATCCTGTAGGAAGCCTCGTGGCATCGACATTAATACCGACTTTATACTGATTGGCATAATCCAACTCGGATTTATGTGCCATGGTTCCATTGACAGGGACGGATTGCTGGACATTATGAGATTTGTGCATTTAACAAGGAGGACACGTACAGCAGTTGATGTCGTACAATTGATCAGTTGTCGTTTCAATGCTCCCAACTCCAGAGATGTAACTGAATGGAAATGGCGAAACGACGTTAAGAAAAAAATCCGCAGTACATTGAGATTTGAAAATTGGATTTATTGTCTTACCTTTAACATCACTTAGTTTCCAGTCAGTCATTGTGCATATTGGCGAGAAAGAAATGTTTTCGATGGGTGAATTGGTGCAATACAGCTGCTTCAAGCGTTTAATATTGTCCAAATCTTGGTGACTGAGCAATGATGAATTTTCAACGAGCTCAAAATCAGCCGGTTTCACATAGTTGGCATTAGTTGTTAATAATATATTGTAAATGTTTTCTTTCACTTTTTTGTGATGTTCAGTTTGTTCTGATTGTCTAAGGAATGTGGCTGCAGTTTCAAGCAGAATAGTCAATCCATTTTGTTTTTGATATTTTACGAGGAAATCATGGTGTGAGAAGAGATCATTCGTGTCAACCATGGATCGGATAGCGTTCAACGCAGCTATTCGTATGAGAGCATCTCTTGTTATCTTCTGCGGTTCATTTGTGTGTATGCCTTCCATGTCAAGTTCTAGAATATGACGATTAACCAATGGGATTTCCAATCTGATGTTATCCAATTCGAAAATGGTGTTAATGTCTTTGTATTTGTTCATTATCGAACCATTCATTCGATACAGTAAACCGGCGCTTTCACTTTCGAACAGTCCACAGGCCATTAAACGACCGTGCAGTTCTTCATCGGTAAATGTACAAAACAAGAATTGACCACCATCATCTTTATTGCATTCGATATCCTTTTCAGCGTATTCGTTTTTCAAAGCCGTTAAATTGTCACGACATTCAATCGCTTTTTGTTTGGCCAAATCGTATTTCTTGTCATATAAATAAAATTCACATAAATCATACGCAATTTGTGCTCTGAGTTCGGCCTTCGAAATGACAATGGAATTGTCAAAATCCTGTTCCAAACGATCCGACACCGAATTCGGACTGAGCGCAACAAATGAACCATATGTCAAATGTATGAATGGCTCATCATCCAGACAGATTTGATTTAGAAAATCGATACTAGTTTGCGTAAATGGTTCGAGTGAGGATAGAAACATTTCGTCGCGGAAGGAGTTTGCTTGTTCTTGATTTGTCATCAATCTATTTTCAAATGAATATACAAATGTCAGATAATAAAATCGAAGATAAAATCCCGTATTCAACTTACACATGATTGAATCCTTGTCGAAAAACTCTTGGTGGAATTTCTTTGAGTACTTGCGCACGTAAAATCCATCGATGGTATAGAGTCAAGGCAAAATTGAACGCCTTTTTCGATCCTTCCGGTCCCAGTTGACATTCGTGCACCAAGGACAATGGCAAATTTACCATTTTATCCGATGTCACCGAACATAAATCACTCAACAATTGAACTTGTTTCTGCAGCGACAGATTTCGTTCCAACACTTGCAAATTCCACTTAAGATACGATGCAACTTTGAGGCCAAGAATTTTCAGTGCCAATTGTTTACGGCCAATTTTCAAACCTTCGGTGCGATTCATTGCCGACTCTATGTCAGGTGTTGTAGCTGTCGTTGTGTTACTTTGACTTTCCGGTGCCATTGACAGAAACTTTGAAATGAGCTCAATCGGCGTTGGACCTAAAAGAATCAAAATGTTTATCAGAAAGGTCAATAAAATGTTAACTGGATTTGGAAACGAACTACGTACAAGCATTTTCTTTCTGTAGATGCGTCGTCAGTAACGATGGATTTAATAAAAATTCAAACCACAATATGGTTTCGGCTTCCAATGGTACCGAAGTTGGCTTTAAGGGATCATCCATTTTTGAAACGTCCGTTCGATGCAATAACAATTACATTTGTTAACTAATAATAGTCCTTTTCGATTGAGTTCGCTCTATAATAGAATAGGTGTCGGATTAAAACATCTTCTTCTCGATATAGAACCGAGTGTAAATATGCTTGCGTTGACGTTTATGCTACCAAAATGCACTCGAAATGAAGTGTCAAAGTGTCGTTTCAATGCCGGCAGCCATGTGACGTATAGTTCAAATGGCCATTAATGGACGGAAATTTTCAATGGCAAATGGAAGTGTCATGAAATAAATGGGACTTTTGGTGAAACAAAATTTATGATTGTTAAATTAATTTAATGTCTCCACCAGATGAAGTAATTGAATAGTAATTTTGATGAGAAAACATTGATGTGTATTATTTCGAGAGTTTTGTCAAAGATGGCGCTGCATCTAAAGCAGCATTTAATTGGTATCACTTATTTTCGACAAATGATTGTAAAAACTGAATGGATGACAAAGGCATGGTATAATAGAGCTCCCATTCATATTCAAAACATCAGAGATTATCATAGTAATTCATTGACTATACGCATCATGTTTAAAGTCTGATCAAAATTGTATTTGTTAGCCGTCTCTGATCAAATCAACTCAAAACGAATAGTCCATTAGTTCATACAAATTGAATTTCTCTGTTTGAAAGAGGTACGTATATTTAACCAATAATTTGTTTAAATTTGATTCATTTATGCGTTTTGTGTCGATTTGATCGCAGTCGGCATGGAAATCAGTGCGCCTCGCACCGCATTCAATGTGTGCTCAACTGTCAGTCTTATTCACATACAAACACACATTATCACTGTCATTCAAAGTTCAGTGTGTAAAGCATGTCAAAATCGGCTGTCACACGCACGCACACCACCTCAATTGCCTTCCTGACGACCGAACTCAATTTCGATTCAATGTTCACGAAATCATCGAGAGTACATACTCTCCTATAATTGGGACCATTGTATTCATTGGTGTTGTTACCATTAGAGTAGTATGTATGTGTATGTGTGTGCGATCTATCTCGTGGTTTTCATGCTGTAGAAGTTCATTTTTCAGGCAAAGAAATACACATAAATGTATTTCGTCTTTTTTTCCTCTGTTGTTTTTTGATTTGATAAAGAAGAGAACACGGGAGACTGTAGGAATATTTTCGATGTGTGTGAGCAAAAACCTCGTGTTTTAGACATAATATATGTGTATAATTCAAAAAAAAAATTCGTAGAAAGAATAGAAAAACATAAATAAATTCTAACTACAATTTTTTCTGTAGATTTTCCTATAAATTGTTAATTTTGTAAGTTTGCGACGAAATAATTGCGATTTTAACCATCGTTGCACAGGGAATGAAAAAAAAGAATAATTGATTTCATCATTTGAACTGGTACTTACAATCCCACTATCTGTCGGCTTAATTTCAAATTCGTTCGACTGTGTGAACATTGTTCGGTCAAGATAGATCTTTGTGATTTTCATATAGTTTAGTATTTTATTTTATTCGTACCAATAAGAGAAATCAAAATCGAAGCAAAGCGAATACTTTGCGTTTGCGGTCTACACCTAATTTGATAGAGTGCGAAAAGAAAGAGTTTTTCGGGGTGCATTAAATTGGAACACTGTTCCTTCTTTTTCATCTAGATTTGGTACACGCACACACACACACACGATACGAACCGAGGCAAGTGCTTGAGTTGATTGACTGGGAAAACTCATTAAGTTAACCGGAATCGACTGACCGAGTCCTAATCGAACCCTATATATTCCGACGACGAATTAACTGCTAATAAACAAACATAGTCAAATTAATCATGGGATCAGACACACCATCAAATTCGACGGCTACCGAAAATCATGTATCAAGCAATGGAAATGTGGATAAAAATCAAGGTATGTACCGTATTGTGTCAATTGACAATGAAAGTGAATAACCCAGTGTCCAGTTGTGTAGTGTGTAGCCGCATGTTGGTTTCGATAGTACATTGAATCGACTGTGGATCATCTAATTCGAAATTATTTCCATAATTCGATTTTGTTTGATTAAAATGTGATGCGGCGTTTCTTTGCGTATCGATGGCGAACACCGAATAAAAAAGAACACAGGAGTGAGAAAAGGAAAATCGTCGATAGCAAAACTCCAATGGTTCCAGTATGTACATATTCAATATACTGAATGCGATTCATTTTGAAATGCCAACTTTGACCGTCAGGCTATTGAACAGAGGCGATAAGGAATATTGCTACACCGTATGACAATTGAGTCAAATTGAATGTGTCAGTGCGCGGTTTAAGAATGAGAACAATTCCTCCCATGCATCTGTTCGGTTTCAGTGTGCCTCATCCACTTCAAACAAATAAATCAAATCGTGTGCAATTGCACGAATTTTGTGTGCCATCATTTTCACCTCGATTTCGTATTTTCAATTGTATTCCGTCAGAGATCTATCGGTTAGCATTTTGGCTATGGTTGCATTCATATAATCGTATTATGTAACAGTCCAATCTCATATTGAGAATAGTTTTTCAATGTACTGTCGCTACTGCCGTTGCCGCTGCCACTGCTGCTGCTGCTGCTGCTGCTGCTGTTGCTGTTGCTGCTGTTTTCTTCTATATGTCTTTTTCGGTTTTTTACGTATCATACGCGCGTCACAAACATTATTCGCAATATAAGTGTTTAGCGCACCGCTACATATATTTTGCTTGACACACAATGACGATAAGTGAGAAAAGCGACAGGAAAAAAAAACAAATCACACACACAATTTGTTCCGAATAGGAAAATAAAATGATTGAATACGAAAATCGGGAGAAGAGAAGAAATAAACAAAATGAGAGTGTGAGAGAAGAAGAAGAAGAAGAAGAAGAAGAAGAAGAAGAAAAAAACCTTATATGACTAAAATTGCTTCAACGTTACCTAAATTAATTGAGCGTACATAGTAAAATCGACTGATGGTATGCAACAGATCAAATGATTTAGAATCGAATACTGACACTGCTACCATTTTATTGTCTTGCCACATACAATGTCCAAAAGAGCTATGCATAGCTCTGTTTCATGGAATGGTTACATTGAAAGTGACAAATATAAATGAATCGTTTAGAATAAGTGTTGAACTTTAGCAAACTATTTACAATTACCATTTTAAAATGCACCTCATACATAAACATACTGTCGAATATGTGAATATTTTCAATGCACGCACCATCGACGACACTATATATTCGTTTTCACACATTTTTTTTCTGTTCACATCCAATCGAACTGCAACGAGTAAGAATTGCTTTCAAAAATTTCAAAATGTTTCGTTTTGTGGAACACACCCAAATAGCAGCGCTTTTCATGCTTATAGCCTGTCGCAATTTTATCCAACGGACAACAAACATCTCGTATAAATAGACACAGAACTGGCTTTGATCGTTATGTAAATTGCCGGTATCGGTTGATCGATACAGGTTCAAGCTTAATGTGTTTCCTGCAGAGCAAATATGCAATTTATATTTTTAAAAAATGAAGCGATTCAAGAACAAAAGTGGAATATCTGGATTGCTGATTGAGGACGAAAATACGAATTAATTATATTAAATACGTGATATCAATTATATAGTCATAATACAACCAACTTTTAGTACTGTTGTTCATATTACATTTATCCCGTTTTTTCATTGTTCCCAACACAGAAACGCACACCCTTACAAATGGAGAACAGGCTGAAGCCGCAAACGGAGCTGAAGTAGAGAAAACGGAGAATGGCACGGCAGATGATGCCGAATCAGGAATATACGATGACACCAATTTTAATATCAAAGTCGTGTTGCCAGGTATATCGGAGCCGCTGGAAATCCCCGTATCAGCCATGGAAATGGTCCAGGAAATTCATCAAATGCTCATGGATCGCGAAGATTCATGTCATCGCACATGCTTTTCATTGCAATTGGACGGTGTCACTTTGGATAATTTTGCTGAATTGAAGAGCATCGAAAATTTAAAAGATGGATCAATCTTGAAAGTGGTCGAAGAGCCATACACAGTTCGTGAGGCTCGTATACACTTGCGCCATGTTCGTGATTTGCTAAAAAGCTTAGATCCAACCGATGCGTACAATGGCATGGAAAATGCATCTCTATCATTCTTGAATGTGTAAGTAATTTTATGAAATTCGCACAACTAAAACCAAATAAATACAATATTCAAATGGCCACCGACAATTGACATTTTTACTTCACCAGAATCACACAAGATGAAATCAACGATTCGAAAAAGTTGCGTGAAAAGTTCGATTGCACACCTCCCGATTATATATTGCCCGGCGCCAAAGAACGAAATTTGATACCGCTATTGCCTGGCGTGAAGAACGTTAAAGGGCCACAAGCATTGAAAGTGTTGACCACATCGTCGTGGAACCCACCACCTGGTCCACGCAAACTGCATGGTGATTTGATGTATCTGTACGTTATCACGATGGAAGACAAACGATTCCACATAACTGCGTGTCCACGTGGCTTCTATATCAATCAATCCACGGAAGAATCATTTAATCCGAAACCAGATGTGCCTAATCATTTGTGCCATTCGCTGATCGATTTATTGTCATATATTTCACCAATGTTCAAACGAAATTTCGCAATCAATTTAAAGCGTCGCTCATTGCGTCATCCATTCGAACGTTTGGCTACTTCATACCAAGTGTACTCATGGTGTGCACCAGTCTTAGAGCATACCATTGATGCCATTCGGGCTGAAGATACATTTTCAGCAAAATTGGGTTATGAAGAGCATATACCCGGCCAAACGCGTGACTGGAACGAAGAACTACAAACAACAAGGGAATTGCCACGCAAAACACTACAAGAACGTTTGATGCGTGAACGTGCCATATTCAAAGTACACAGTGATTTCGTTGGAGCCGCCACACGTGGTGCGATGGCTGTCATCGATGGTAATGTTATGGCCATTAATCCCGGTGAAGATGCCAAAATGCAGATGTTCATTTGGAACAATATCTTCTTTTCACTTGGATTTGATGTGCGAGAGCATTACAAGCACCTTGGAGGCGATGCAGCCGCATTTGTTGCACCTCGAAATGGTAAACGGCCAACAACGCATCCATATCATTTTACTGAATTGATGTATTGATAATAATAAAACGTTTTGTTTGTTAAACATTCATTAGATTTGCATGGCGTTCGGGTGTACAATGCCGTTGACGTGGAAGGACTTTACACATTGGGCACAGTCGTTGTTGATTATCGTGGTTACCGTGTTACAGCCCAATCGATTATTCCCGGCATTCTGGAGCGTGAACAAGAGCAATCAGTGGTTTACGGATCAATTGATTTCGGTAAAACGGTCCTAACTAATGACAAGTACTTAGAAATGTTGAACAAAGCAGCTACACATTTGAAAATTTTGCCACATCATGTGCTAAATGAAAAGGGCGAAGCGGTTGAATTGTGCTCATCGGTCGAATGCAAAGGAATTATCGGAAATGATAAGCGTTACTATATCCTCGATCTGTTGAGAACATTCCCACCCGATGTGAACTTCTTGAAACACCCAGATATTGAATTGAGCAAACGGGTCCAAGAGATGGGTTTTCCAATCGAACACAAGCACAAATTGAACTGTTTGCGTCAAGAATTGTTGGATTCATTTGTTGAAGATCGTTACATTCGTTTTATTCGAAATGCTGCATACAATTTACAGAAGATATGCACAACTAAAAAGCAAACCGAGACTGAAAACGAATCGAAGGACGAAACCACTGGAACCACCGAAACCACAGCCCAAGCAATTGAAGACAAACCAAGCGAAGACAATAAGGATCGGGCAAATGGTTCAGGCGAGAATAACAATAAACCGATGGTGAATGCTGAACTTGCTAAAAAAGTAATGGAATCATTCACTGACGATATTTCAAGCAATGCAAAACAAGCGGCTGATTCGAAGCGAATTGTGCGCGAAGCATGCGCTAATGTTGGTTCACTGAAGGAGTCTGAGTTTGACATTCGCTTCAATCCAGATGTCTTTTCGCCAGTCCGTCACACGGGAACAATCGATACGGAACCACCGACTGACAAAGAGCAAGCCGCTAAATTGGCTGCCCTAGCAACGCCATTCAATTCATTGAAACAACAAAGAAAATTGGTAATTGAAGCTGCCGAGTTCTTGGTGACCGTTCAAATTCCGAGCTTCGTTAATGAATGTCTTAATCATGCATCGGCACCAATGGAGGGAACTACATTGGCTGAGGCAATGCACAGTCGCGGTATAAACATGCGTTATTTGGGAAAAGTGGCAAATCTTTTCGAAAAGATTCCACAGCTCGAATACTTGCACAGAATATCGGTGCAAGAGCTGATTTTACGATCAACCAAGCACATCTTCCAAGTTTATATGCAAAACACGGACTTGATCAACATGGCATCGTCAATTAGTCATTTTCTCAACTGTCTACTCACATCACCGAGTCATCCATTGAATCCAACACTTGGACAAGATGAATTGTGCAAGCAAAGCAAACGTGGTGGCAAAAATAAACGCACCACGGCCACAAAGTCAGCTAGCAATGGTCGTGTTGGTGTGTTCGGTGGTGATCAAACCTATGAATGGATATCATTGACACAAAAATCTCTGTGGCAACAAATAAAACGTGAATTGAAAGCATACTTCGACTTTGATCTCGGCGTTGAAGCATCCATTGAGGCTGTTATTGAAACGTACAAACTCCACAAATTGACCGTGTTGCGAGCGTTTTGTTTGAAAGTCGGCATTCAAATCTTGTTGCGTGAATACAACTTTGAATCGAAGAATAAGCCAACATTCAATGAAGATGATATTGTGAACATGTTCCCAATTGTTAAGCATATTAATCCACGCGCAACAGATGCATACAATTTCTACACCACCGGCCAATCAAAGATTCAACAGGGTAATTTCAAAGAGGGCTATGAACTGATTAGCGAATCATTGAATTTGCTCAATAACGTTTATGGAGCAATGCATTCGGAGAACTCACAATGTCTGCGCATGTTGGCTCGCTTGTGTTACATAATGGGTGATTTACAGGAAGCCGTCAACATCCAGCAACGCGCCGTCCTGATGAGCGAACGTGTCAATGGCATTGATCATCCATACACAATCTCGGAATATGTATGTCATTTTGTGTGGTTATTTCCATCCAAATTTCTGGATTATTTCTAATTTTTCTTTGGTTCGATTTCTCAGGCACACATGGCCCTCTATAGCTTCGCAAACGGACAAATAATCCCAGCTTTACGACTTCTTTATCGCGCTCGTTACCTAGCTGTATTGATCTATGGTGACGACCATCCTGATATGGCTCAATTGGATGTAAGTGTCGACATTACCACAAAAATATAAGGAATTACGAGGAAAAAAGTGAAATTAATATTTTTGTTTTTTGCAAACAACATTCCAAAGTTGTTGATTGGATTACAAAAACAAAACTTTTTAATCGAAATAATATTAACGCATTTGTTGACAACTATTTTGCAGAGTAATATTGCCCTCTTCTTACATGCGACCGGTGAATTCCGACATTCCGTTCGTTTCCTTGAGCATGCACTCGCATTGAACATTAAGTATCATGGTGAGAAATCCTTGAAAGTGGCCGTGAGCTACCACTTGGTTGCACGCACACAAAGTTGCATGGGTGATTTCCGTTCAGCACTTTGTAGCGAAAAAGAGACATATGCCATTTACAAACAATTGGTAAGTAGCGGATAATATTCAATCATCAATTGTGCGTATAATTTACTCACGACTGCTTTTCTGTGGCTTCTCGGCGTTTTTTTTTTTCATCCGTAAAATTCAAGTTGGGTGAAAATCATGAGAAAACAAAGGAATCATCGGAATGCTTGCGTCATTTGACTCAACAAGCCGTGGTGCTACAAAAGAAAATGAATGACATTTGCACAACTGGAAAAATCACTGTTGACTTACCACCAATCCACATTCAACCGCCATCAATGGATTCCGTTTTGGATATGTTGAATGCCATTAACGGCATCATTTTCGTACACATAAGGTAAAAGATAAAAACAAAATGCAATAGTTTGATGATTGACTCATCTCTCCTTGTCTGAAATGAAACTGATTCCGAATAATGTGTTTGTATTAAATATTTCAGTCAAAAGGATATTGCAAATATGAAAAGCGAAATTGAAAAACGTCAAAGAGAAGATGACAATAATGCAAAAGCAAACCAAAGTAGTCAACAATCATTAGAGGCAGCACAAAATGGTACCGATGATGAAACCACTGAAGCTGGCGAACCAGCAATTGCGAACGGCGTAGATAGCGCACCAGCCAAATTGGTTGCATGTTAGATCCATTCTTTTTTACTTCGAATATACAAACATACATTACACACACATGCATAAAAAGTATAAGTCAAATGAATTGTTTGACGTTTTCCGCCAAAATAAAAACCAAAACCAAAAAAATTAAGAAACAGGTCAAAAAAATCTAGATAGATACCCGGTCATTTGCAATGGTGCATTTGACTAAGTACAGCATATCTGTATAGTAAACGAATAGATAACAGAAAATAACAATACCGCAATAAGTTTTCATTGGAAAGAAGACGTAAAAAAAGAAATTCGAATCAAATCACAACGTTCATAATGATAGTAGCTTCTCAAAAGATAAAAAAATATTCTGCAGGAAAACGTCGATTTATTCGTTATGTTGCACATAATGAAACAAACAGAAAAAAAATAAAGAAAACAAATCATTGGGGCTATTTACTTTTTGTTGAACAAATTAGAACAAACATATACGGAGCAGATAAGCGTGATTTTCTATGATTCTAATTTATGGTTTCAAAGAGCATATACTTCAAGCTGAATTAATTGAGAAGCGATCGCAGTTATAACGTAACGCAGCCACACTAGAAAATCATTGCCATAATAAAAATCGAATTTATTTTCACCTTCAAATATGGTTTTTCAGATGTTATGTATCTGCGTTTGTTTCCCTTTCAGTTGTAGCAATATTTTTTGTGATCGATTTCCTTTGTTGAACATTTTGTTCTTAAATCTGTTTTTCTTTTTGCAACCTGTGAACGCGTCAATGCGAAGCTTCCTTTGTAGAATATTAGTTGGTTTACACCAATCAATTAGGAATGAATCCGCCGAAACTGTCCATCACATACATTTTAGTCACACACATTTTCAAACTACGAAACCATTGACATAAATATTAGAGCATCAACCTATTGTTACCCTTATTCTGTAGCGATATGCTCACGAAATATACTATACCAAAACCATAATGGATAAGAAAACAAACAAGAAACAAACAAAAACATAGTAGATTAAACTAGTGTACAACTTTGATCCCAACAAATTGGACTGAGAGAATACTTACTGTAGAGTATCATCATCAAATTAGTTCAACAAAGCCTTCATCATAAATCAACAAACTGAAAATCATTGATGATTCCATTTCGATGCAATGTTTTTTATGTTATTATTGTTACCGAGTTCAAATTGAATTAACTGCATGATGTACTTGACTCTCATGTCAATTGAAATGCGACTACCATAAATCTCATTTCGATCAAAGCAACTTTATCTACTACTCATCAAATTGTGGAAAAAAGAAGCGGGATACGTTAATTGATTTGCCTTTTTTTAGTTTCTATCTCTTTGTAACCTTGTGAACTACCTGTTATTTTCAAAAAAGATTGTCAGAATTGCGATGTATTTTTTATTTTTCAAATTTTGAATGAAAAATTGAATCGAATCGAATTGACAAGCAACGAAATCGTGCACATTAATACAAAAGCAAATGCATTAGCACAAAATCATCGGATCAATTTCGATTAGACAAGGAACAAAAAAAATGTTGTTTAGGTACGGAAAACTGAACAGAATATTAGAAATCGATCGAAATCAAAATGAAAACCAATAATTAGAATTTTTTGGTAACATTTGTAGTCTCGCGGTAGTAGAAATTTCCGTTGTAGTTTAGTTGTTAAAATGAAAAATAATAAAAAGAAATATTACGAAATGAAACAATTTTTGAATTTGTATTTGTATGCAATTCCAATTCATTCGAAGCAATAGAATATTGTCTATTGCGATTGATACCAACAACAATAAACAAACCGTGTTCAATGACACTTACCTACCTCCGCAAAAAAAATCATTCTGGGACAAAAAAAAGTAAATGTGGTTAGCCCCCCATGTTGGAAAAATGAAGGACCGACACCAGATTCATAAAATTTGGAAAATTTTGGCAACTAAAATGTATACGAGGTAGTTGCGATTTCCGAAAAGTTGCATTTTCTGGAATATTTGAAAAAAATCATTTCTGAGTGATTTGGGTATCTTTAATTCCAGAAATTTGAGACCAAAAAAAGAATAATTACTCAACCAATGATCCTCCTAGCCTCTGTGCAATTTGTATCGGTGATTGACTTACGAACAACAATATACCATTTTCATTATATTTTGGTCTCAAATCGAATTTTGCATTGAGAAATTCACTCAAAACTCGTCTTCTACACAAAACCTGAATTGAAGCTGAAGTGATAGAAAAATAAAAAGAATTACATTGGTAATCCCGAACTTTTCCGTACCGTTGGCCTGCGTTGTTCGTTGGTACTTTTGGTTATTTTTTGTGAATTTTCTTGAAATAAAGGCAGTGAAAATATAATAATGAAAATAAAGTGAAAAATCGGTCACTTTAACTAAAACTTCGACAATTTTGTATGAGAAGTACCCGTAAACCGATTCCTATTGGCTTCAAACTTTCTGAGGTTTCATTTTTTGGGGAAAAAATAAGATTCTGAAAGTTTCATGTTGATCGCATTTGCAGAAGTTTGATTTTTTGTCCTCAATTTTTGTCGAAATTTTCAGAATCTTATTTTTTCTCCAAAAATTGAAACCTCAGAAAGTTTGACGCCAATCAGAATCGATTAACGGGTACCTCCCATACAAAATTGTCCAAAAATCGGTAATTTTAGTCAAAATTTCAAAAATTTTGTATGGGAGGTACCTGTAAATCGATTCCGATTGGTTTCAAACTTTCAGAATCTTATTTTTCTCTCAAAAAATGAAATCCCAGAAAGTTTGAAGCCAATCGGAGTCGATTTACAGGTACCTCCCATACAAAAGTGTCAATTTTTTTAGGTCTTTCTTAGGGCAAGTACCCCAGGATCAAATCGAAAATGGCCCATCTTCGGACTTAAACTAAGTTTTTCGAATACAAAACTTTTGGCGTTTCCAGATTTTAATTATCTCAATTATTTTTTGAGTTATCGTGTTAACAAACACCAACGACGACGACAGCGACGACGACAACGACGACAACAACGACGACGACAACGACAACGACGGCACACGAACGGAAAAGTGTCTCAAAAAGTGGTTTTCTACGCGTTTCATGAGTTTTTATGATGATCTAAACCAATTTTGCGAAAAAAGTTTTCGGGACCAATTCCTATACTTTCCCTTGACACGTTGTGTACGGAAAAGTAATAAATATTTGATTGTTCATTACTCTAAAAAATAGGGGCCTCTCATAAAAACACAGGAAGAGCATATTTTGGGTAGAAAATGCGATTTTCTGTATGACATATTGCGAGTTGAAAACATCTACTGAAATAGTGGCATTTTCCGACCTTTTACACCAATTAGATAAGCAGTGTTGTACAAAGATAAAATTTAGATAGATAAGATAAGATAATATCTCATCTTCATCTAAATTATTTTTATTATTTTTCACAAATATCTTATCTTTATCTAACGGTCAATTTATGTTGTTCGGGATAAATTTAAGAGGATTTTCGTCAGAAGACCAAATTTGTCGATAAAATTTATACCTATCACATGGGAAATTGATGCTAAACTCCATTCCGGCTATTAATAATGTTAAAAGTATTTCAAATATTTTTTCACACCAAGATATTTGAAAAAAAAATTATCCCGAGGGGTAAAAATCCGAGAGGTAACAAAAAATGTATGACCCAAAAATAAAATATTTGCACGGAAACTTTAATTTTTTGCTTAAATTCTCCGCTTTTTCGTCATAAATTTTGATAATAATGACATTTCGAATCAGTTTTCGATTAAAATAATTTTTACATATTTTTACCCCTTGGATTTTTACCAAGAGCTCGTGGTAAATTTTACAACAAGGTGGTGAAGCGTGATTTTTATTTTAATCAAAAATTGATTCAAAATGTTTTTAATATCAAAATTTATGATGAAAAAGCAGCGAATTTAAGCAACAAATCGAAGTTTCGGTGCAAATATTGTATTTTTTGGGCATGGGTGTTGAATGTCATTCAACGCCTCTAAGCTGTAGACTTCTCTCTCCGGCTATACGGCAAACAACAGAACCAACACTGAAAATGAAAATGACATGTTCAATTGTGTTTGTTTCGTTAGTTTCAACTGTGCCGCTACGAGAGGTCACTTTTGTCGTTTCTTGTTGTTATTTTATATGTAAAATCAATGGTATTAGACGAGGATGTTTTTGGGTCATACATTTTTTGTTACCTCTCGGATTTTTACCCCTCGGGATAATTTTTTTTTTCAAATATCTTGGTGTGAAAGAATATTTGAAATACTTTTAACATTATTAATAGCCGGAATGGAGTTTAGCATCAATTTCCTAATGTGATAGGTATAAATTTTATCGAAAAATTTGGTCTTCTGACGAAAATCCGTTTTACCCCTCGGATTAAATTTATCCCGAACAACATAAATTGGCCGTAAATAAATTTCAAGTCCTTTTGTACAACACTGTAGACAGGATCGAGCGAACTCTAAATCGATTACTCGTCAAAAATCATGTGTAGTTTTCTATGCCATAAATGTGATTTTGTATGTAGATTGCGGCCATTCGCTTGGTTTATGAAGAAATGTGGATTTCAGACAAAATTTTTCAGAAAATGTGTGTTTTGTCGTTCAAGGACTCCAATTATTTTTGAAAAATAATAATAGTTTGCCTGTACCAAATTCCTGAAAAGTGGTTATTTTGAGTACTTCCCATACAATAGTACCACATTTGACAAAAAATCAAATTTCATTGAGTTTGTGCTCGAGCCCAGCTCGAGTACAAACTCTGAGACCTTGCACACGGTCAGCACAAACTCGAAATTAAACGAAAATGACCCCAGAACATCAACATTCGGCCACTGAGATGGAGCCGCCATACAAAATTTGACAAAAATCGAACTTTGCTGAGTTTGTGCTTGCCACCAGTTGTAGCACAAACTCTAGGATTTTGCATGGCGTCAGCAAAAACTCCAAATTTCATGAATCTGGTGTCGGTTCTTCATTTTTCCAACCACATTTACCTGACAAAAAAGGGAAAAATAAAGGTATGACAACGATTTTGATTCTACGACCTCTGCGAAATACAACATTTTCATGTCAATGAGTAATTTGTGAGTCCGGGTAGAATATGAGTGAAAAATGCTGATTCTTCAATGATAATTATTTATTTATTTGCTCGCTTCGTCACAGAGTCACAAAATCAGAATGTATAGTCTAGAGCTATTTTGCATTGATAATTGTATCAACACATCGTTATTGAATCAATTAAAACGGAGACTTCCACTTTGTATACAATGCATCCTAAAATCGTGCATTTGCTTATCTTGTTTCCATCGTATCATTTACAAAAATAACGAACCTCGAATCGCATCACAAAAAATGACAACTTCAACATGTCGCATTCAACAACGGTTATCAGCACTACTATGGCATATGTATATTTTTGAGTAAATTTAAAAAAAATTACTCTTTTTCGTATTCATTGAATTAGTTCAATAATTTTTTTTTCAATAATATAGAATTGTATGTTTGTTTGCAGGGAAAATATTGCCATGAAATGAAGGGGAAAAAATGATTAGTGTTAGCAAAAAACTTGGCAAAACTCAAATTGGGCTAGAAAAAAGCATAAGGATCTGGCATGTACTTGAGTATTGAATGTATGAGTTGTTGATAACTCAACTTTCGCTTCGACGACCGAACTCCTCGAATCAGTTATCAAGTCGCCTCATGAATTTCAAAAGCCACAAGATCATTAGGTTAAAATTTTGTAACGATAATTGATTGTGTGGATTCATCATTAAATTGCGTTTAAAAAATGATGTTTGTTGGAACTTTTCCAGTTCGTGTGTGTTGTTGATACGATCTATGGTGTGCGCACTGCGCAAACAGATATGGAGTGCAGTCATTACTTTTTCTGTTGAATTGACAAAATTCATAAAGCCACAAACGAGCAGACATCGATATTATTATTGTTAATACATGTACAGAGATACATCTATGATGTGCTGTTGTTTGCCATTTCAATAAAGGATGACAATAATATTTATTTCTTCCGATCATGGACTTTGGTAATTGAACAATAATATCACAATGTCTGGCTAAATATATATCATTTGAGCATCCATTTGAGTGAAATGCCATAAACGTAACATTTAAGGGAGAAAAAAATGGTTTTTATTGCCTGCGTTTTTGCCATCTGGCACTTTGCACGTATTTCAAAACATTCGGTGCGGCTGAAATTTTTATAAAAAAGAAGCGAGTAAATCTACATATACAGCGATTTTCATCGAAATCTCTTAAATAATAAAAGAGCGTACGTAAGCGCAAACGCTCATCGTTTGAACCGATGGCGGAGAGCCTAGCGCGTATCTTGCAAAATGACAATCATAAGCACACGGAGCGAACATAGCGGTGGCGGTGACCGAGGCACTTATGTGTATGCGCGCATGTGTATTCGTGCGCGTATGCGACTTATAAAATCATATGATCAGTCAGTATGTCCAAACAGTCAGTGAGCAAGTGTCATTAGTACGAAGTGGATTCGCCTTTTGTTTAGATTTTCCCCCAAGTCGTTCGTTAAGAATATTCGTGTTCAATTACACTCTTCAACCAAAGAGAATCTCGACTTATTGTCGGTTGAAATACTAACAAAGTGATTGCCCATTGTATAGGATAGACATAGTGAAGCGGAAAAATTCGCGGCGCTTGACTTTGATTCGAGAATTCGTCGAAAAAGTGTTTTCCTTTGAAGCGACTGCGAACAGAGGGTAGGTCAATAATGAAAGAATTGTCAGTAGTGGCAAACTATTCAACGATACGCGATAGTCGTGGCCCGTAATTTACTTTCGTATTTCATCGAGAGAGAAATCACAAGTGCAAGTGAAAGAACGAAACCTTGAAAAACTCCCACGAATATTTGTGAGGACTCCGAAACTGAATAAAAGCGTTGTTTCTGAACTCTTTTTTAAAGCTGTTGCTAGAGAAAATTTGGACATTTTTTTGCTGTCGATTTATCCCGATTTTCCTATTTTACGTGAACAATTGAAGTAATGCCAAATAAGTGTAGCAAAGATTGTTTGGGTATTCGGTACCGTACGAATGGTTTGCATCAAACGTGGAAGTGGCTGCATCAAACGATCGAATTGCACGAATACTTGATTTCGATGTCATCGTCTGACAGAGACATCGTTCGCGTACCTGCTGTTGTTATGCATTGAATTAATTCACCATACCTCATTTTCGATTCAATTCCACGGTGTGCTATAACAAAGTGTCTTAAGAACTTACACAAAGCAATAAAAAGAAACAACAAAGGAAAAAAGAAGAACAAAGGACATTTTATTGAATACGATCGGTGTTTGCATACTTCTCTCTAGTCGATAACAAAATTACTCATTTTTCCTTAAGACTTTTGACTGATTCAACCGAAGATTTTTGAAAAAAATTTCGATTTCTAATTTTGATTAAAAAAAGACATTGAACATTAGCATTAAAAGTAAATTTTGAAAAGCAACTCAACTTAGTGAAAACATTGAATCCAAAGTGAGAGTAATTAAATTGGGTGTGTGATAAAGAATTTGAACTGTTATAACTGTAACTGTTACTGTGAATTTAGATTGCGTAACGGTATAAAAAAGAATCAAATCACGTTTTGGTAATATTATAATTCGCAGTTCGTGTGTGTTAAATGAAATTATCAATTCAACAACGCATCAACACGCGCCGATTTCATACAACAGAAAACTAACACCTATCGTTGGCGAAAACAGGAGCTATTCGTATTCGACGGGATCGAAGTACACAATTGAGTTAAAACAGAGAGAAACAAAAATAAACGACTCAACACACACAATTTTCGCTTAGCGCTTCCGCATTACGTTTTTACTCCAGTTTTTGCGTTGTTTTCGCAGCTGCGTACATAAAGATAACTATTACATACCATCAACGCACAGCAGAGCGCTATCGCATTTCTAAGCTACCACAGAAAATAAAGAATCGCAGAGTACACAGCTGAAGCTTGAAAATAGACATAGAAAATGGCTTCGACATTGTTCATGAACTGTGGTACCAAAGTCCGCTCCGTTATTGGTCACCTATCGCCGCTTTCACAACAAATAAATGTCTCAGTAAAATTCCACCCGAATTATCAGAGCATCCAGAAAGCGGTCGTTGCTCACAATTATTCGACGACGACGACGACGACAACGACATTGTCGGACGGGAAAAACAATGCGATTAGCAATGAACAAGTGAATGCAACACCGACCGCCAAATCTACATACAAATCCCGGGCCATCAAAGCCGTTCCGGATAACGAGATTAGGAAATCGGTTTTCATCTCCCAATCGAATGACATCTTTACAAATTTGGCACTTGAAGACTGGTTCTATCGCAATTTCGATTTCACAAATCATCATGTACTGATGCTATGGGCCAATGATCCGTGTGTTGTGATCGGCCGTCATCAGAATCCATTCGACGAAACAAATGTGTCGAATTTACAGAAGGCTGACATTGCATTAGCACGGCGTAACAGCGGCGGCGGAACGGTTTACCATGATCGCGGCAACTTGAACATGACTTTTTTTACACCGCGCGAACGATACAACCGCACATACAATCTCAATATTGTGACGCGTGCATTGTTCCGCGAATGGGGCATCAAAGCCGATATTTCAGCACGCGACGATATTGTGATCAATGATAAAAAGGTAATTACGCATTTCTTTGCATCTAAGAACGTTCTGATCATTTGAGCTCAGCATGATATTCAGCTACTGTGTGCTGCGCGACACGTTTCATATTGCCGTTTTCTCGCACTGACCGCATACGTGCATTCTTGGCAACTTCCCTCTAAATTTGTGTCGACCATCTTTTTTTCACTCTTCTATTTTTGTGCGCCTTCATTGTTGACTCGAAGGAGAGTTTGAGACGTGGTGTTGTGTGTGGCTTAGAAAAAAATGAATGCGTGGCATCAAGGCATGAACACACGCAAATAACCGTCAGCACAGCCATTTTCATTTATTTGCTTTGTGCTTTCTGTTTCGTTCTCCAAGGCGCAAACGCTATTTATAAATTCGTTATATTTGGAAATCACTTACGATTATCACCGCATTTCTCGATCGTGCTGAGCTTAGCGATCGTGCGACACACTCAATCAGATAGCAATATCATGCCATGGAATTTTATAGGAGCGACAAAAATGAAGTAAAATAATTGAACGCAAGAGCTCACTCCCACTCCAATAATGGCAAGAACGGGACACATGCTTACCATTTGATTGATGACGCGCTAGATGCATGATAATGAATTGAATCTCGTGCAATATTGACGCTTTTCTTTTATATTACCAGTAATTACACTTGCATTGTCATGGAAAAAATGTCAATGCCCATAAGATGATTTGAAAAATGAACGAAAGTGATTTTAAACGTACTCATCAATTTCCATCTGAATTTACTTTAGATTTCCGGAACAGCTGCTAAATTGGGGCAACCAAATGCTTATCATCATTGTACACTGCTCGTCGACACCAATAAAAACAACATTAGAGAAGCTTTAGTTAAAGATGAGGTAAAAAAAACCGTGCAAATATTTGATTTATTTTTTACCGTCTTAATTGCCATCGAATTTTTCTAGGCTGAAATTGTCACTAAAGCAACACAATCAGTACGGTCACCAGTAAAAAATTTAGTCGATGTCAATCGTCACGTCAACTTTGCGCAGCTTCTTAGTGCTGTGGGGTAAGATAAATACATGCATTGATCTCTAGTGAAGATTTTTCAAGAAAATGTATCTTTTTTGTTGTTGTTAATAGATATGAGTTTCTGCGAACATCGGCGACTGAGTTACATGATGGTGGTCGTCATTTGATGATGAAACAACGTGGATTCCAACTGATCAATCCAACGGAAAAATGGTTCCCCGGTTTGATGGAAATTCGTGACAATCTTAACACTTGGGATTGGTGCTACGGAAAAACACCCAAATTCACCGTCCAAAAGGAGATACAGCTAAAATCCGAGGAAAAAGATCACAACGTTCAATTGAACATTTCTGTTAATGCGGTTAGTTTCAAATTATGCAGACAAAAGCAGTTTATATACGAATCCGACGAATCATTTTATTAAATCAAATTCAAATTTTATATCAACAGGGACTCATCGAAGGGATCACATTGATTGTCCCGAACTACGATGCCATACCGGTTGTTTCAACGCTCAGAGGCACACCATACACCGAAGAACATCTCAACAACATCATTATGGCACTGAAGGGCGTCAGCGGTGATAATGTCAAACACGCCATGAATCACTCATTTTAAAGCTTGTTTTTAATTGTTTTACTTTTAATTTTTTCATTTACTAAAATAGCTTGTAATAAACGATTTTGATTTTTGTATTTTGTATTTTGACCTGTTAACATTGAATTAATTCAATCAATAAATGTTCTTTTCCTCTTTTTTTGGATGAGCAAATTTATATCTCTGTGGCTAAGAATAAAAGGGATTTTTTCTCTTTGTATTTTTAGAAAGTGAAACATACACATTTAGATTTATTGAAAGCACATCGTAAAAAATATAATATTTTCACTTAAATAAATTGCCAGATTTGCCAAGTCAAAGTCGAGGCTGGTCCGAGCCGAATTCGACCAAAATGACTTGGTTAACATGGAGTGGTTTCACTTTCTAAACTCGTTGGGTCAGGTCGGATCCACCTGCTGCACAAGATCCACTTCATGTTCACAAAAATCACTCTTACTTTTAGCCACTCAAACGAACTATTAGTTATATGTATACATAAATGAAAAAATAAATGAAATTAAAAAAAAAATCTTATGCGTTTTCGGCTGAATTTAATGGTAATAAATAAATAAAATGAATCATTGAACTAAAACCGTGTAGCTGTCAGTCATTCCTGAATTCTCTTAGGATGAAATTACCAATCGAAATACTTTCAGATTTTAAGCAATAAATTATGACATTAAAAATTGAAAATGTAAGTAAAAAGGTGAGTATTTCTCTAAAATCTAGTGAAATCATATTTGAAATATTTCTGGCCTACAAATTTTGTCTCTCTCTCTCTCTCTAAAATTATTTAGAAAAAATGACTGTCCTCTTTTCATTTTCATTCTCTGTACAAATGCTTCCTTATTTTCTTAACAAGTTTTCAGTTTTTTCTGTAGAAACTGTGATTTCATTCGATTTATCGAAATGAATTCACATTCAGGGTTTAGCAAAATGACTATACAATTGCTCACAATTGGCCACAACTATTTAAATTCCTACATTTTGAAAGTGGAAAAAATTCTATATATCTCAATATATTATGCAATGACAAAGCACAATTATACAGTACCCGTCAAATGTTTAGACTGGCAAAAAATGTGTTTTCTCAAATAAAATGCTGTTTTTCGCAATGTTACCAAATATGATGATGAAATTCAACTGAAACGGGGCTTTGAACGGATGGACCAACGAGCAAGAAAGACGGACAGTCCGTCCTTTTGACACCTTTAATCAAGAAGAAATGAAGAACATAATATAAAAAATTTCGGAAAAAATACCCACTATTTGTGGAGGTTATTAGATTTGGTATTTAGTTGTGCTTAGTTCGTATATTTTGCACGAAAGCAAGGATATGTTTAACAAAATCAGAGAATCATTTCAGCATAGATATTCAATTTTCTGATGAGATCTAAGTAACTGAATGCAGTGGCTGCGAACGTCGCTGTGAGTAAATGAGCTCTCTATATTAAAGCGCGAACATGAGAGAAGAGAGGAGAGATGAACGAAATATGTCGCATTGAATGATGAGAGTGAACGTCTCTTGATACAGTGTCAGTGTGGCGAACACTTACTCTTTGTTTCTTGGAATGTTTTTGTTTTTCACACCAACAAAATAATCAAATATTGTTTTGTTTATTTTTCGAATGTGATTTTTTTGCTTGTGTTTGTGCTGCCAACCAATTTGTTAGAAGAAAAAGAAGAAGGAACAACAATTCCAAGAAACAAAGAGTAAGTATTCGTCACACTGACACTGTGTCAAGTGGACATTCATTTGCATCGCTCGATGCAACACATTTCGTTCGTCTCTCCTCTCTTCTCTTCTTTCGCACGCACACTCACTCCGATTATGTGTAAGTCAATGTGTATCAAAGTCCGCGCTTGAATGTAGAGCGCTCGTTTACTCACAGCGAAGTTCGTAATCACTGCATTCAATTACTGAGATCTCATCAGAAAATTGAATATCTATGCTGAAATGATTCTCTGAACAAAATTACGCATATTTCCAGAAATAGATAGACACTTTGTTCTGAACATTTAGTATAATGTTCTCTAAATGATACCCTCTGCCTAAAAATTACCAAATATATTCATTTCCAAAAAAGTGCCTAAAGTCGTCTGATATGCACTGTCCAGTGTCCACAGCAAACCAATGATAAGATCAGGCTCAAATTTGGACAAAGGTAGATTGTATAAGCATGACAAAAAAATATTATTCCGAAAAGGCCATCAACGAATATTTCACAAATCCCGGGTATTTTTTCAGCAAAGTGTAAACAATCAGCCTGCATTTTTTTTTTAAACTATACAGTCCATATATTTTTTTGATAAAACATCGAAAAACAGCATTTGGTATGATAAACGGATGGTTTTTTTTAAACAATTTAAGATCGTAATTTCTTCATTTTTTTTCAATAGTTTAACTTTTATTGTGTCAAATTAAACCCAATATTTATTTCATTGTTCATTTCTTTACGTAATTGTTTTTTTTTTCAATTTCGCGCATACGCACATACATATGTACATTAGGGTGTTTTTCATAACCTGAAAAAGAAAAATGGTAGATTTTAAATTAAAGAGAACAGAATTCTGTATCAATTAGTGGTGCAATCGATATTCACACCTCCCGAAGCAAAAAGACTGCTTCTTCCATTCAAATGTCTAAATAACTCTCGCTCCGAAGCGTTGAATAAATTCTACTTACCGTGATATGATGCATTGAACAAGTCATATCCAAAGAATGCGGCGACATTGTCAAACCCATTGTGATCATCAAATAACGTCTATAAAACCACTCATGTACTGCGTTAAATAAAGTTAGACACCTTATAAACCTTAAAATAGCCCACTAAGTGCAAGGCTTGAGAACTCTAATAAACTATTAGAAAATATTTGTTAAAAAAAAAACTTTAATGCTAAACGCTGGATTTTGATTTATGGATTGAGTGGAACGCCGTCGTCGTCTGGTCGTCGCAGCAATGCTGGATGTATCGGAATGTCAAGCAGCGTGCAAAGACCTAAGTAAATAGAAAACAAGCACACAAATAACAATTAATTCAAGCGAAAACCAAATCGATTCCATTTTTCAAATGAAATATTAATAGATAATGAACCTTTGTACATGATCAGTTTGGCTGCTGATATGTCCCGATGACAAAGTGATTTGAGCAACTTGCGTGATTGTGCAGCGTCTTCTGTTCCAGCGTTTTCAGCGGCATTTGGTTGCCAGGTTTTGAAGAAGCGTTGCTTCTTTGACACCAAACGTCCTGAATTTCGTTGGGTTAGAATGGCTGCAATAGCATCACCTTGGTCGCGCATTTCCTCCCATGTACGCATGATTTTCCGTTGCATTTGCAACACTCGTTTGCTCACGTTCGTATAGATGGTTCTCGGAAGTCCAACACGTTCATCTGGTTGGCAATCGTTGCACTTCTTGTATCGTTTGCTCTTCGTCCATATCGGGAACCGTTTGACGCATCGGGCACAATGTTGCGATGTCATGTATTCATCCACCAACCGAACGACACAATTGCCACGTCTTTTGAAGGCTGCACTCAGCTTGCGAACGCCTGGACACCGCACGTACTTTTTGATTCGGATCGGGCAATTTGTTGAAATTTCGGCTGCTCCGATGTTGATGTTAGCTGTCTTGAAATGTACCAGCTTACCGGCGATGAGATCAATTGCACGACGCCATTCAATGTGTTTGTCCAAACGTAAGCGTGCATAGTTTTTCTGACTGTATGCCGCGATACCATCTTGGGACATTCGCAGGCGATGTTCGATGTAATGGCGCCAAGAGATATTCCGTGGCGATGGTGTCTGGCCAATCTCTGCGGCGATACGCTTGAGGTCCGCTTGTTCGTCATACGTAAAGACTCGTGTCATTCGGTCGGCTTTAATATTGCGCGCATCTTGTTTCGATTTCTGATGGTATTGTTTGAACGAAATCTTCTCGTTGGTCTGAAAATAAATTGCAACACAAGTGAATTAACACTTCTTCTTCTTCTTCCTTTTTTCGTTTTGTAAATACTTACCTCTTCGCCGGTCTTTAGATCGAGGCGGACCGACGCAATAAAGGTTCGCATGCCTGGATCAATTCCCAATGCATACGCGAATTCGTTTGCGAAATATTTTCGTTTGATTTCGGCCTCTTCTTCATCAGTAACAGTTTTGCTCTGTTTCGGCAATTTGAATAACACCGACGCTGACACACCATCTGATATTATCGAATCGCCGAATTCCTTCTTATTCTTGACTAACTTGATAATTTCGTCCATGTTGAAAAACAAACGCCAGCCTCCTCTCTCCTTGAATTCAGTCTGTGAGATGTAGCGCTGTTGGACTTCGCCGTTTCGTAAGACTCGAGAGCTTTTTGTCCGCGGCATTGCTTTGACGCCCTTTAAAATGTTGTACAATGCATCTGTATCAATTTTCACGTATCGGCGCTGGAATGTGCACTTCGGAATGACTGTGAAGGTGGTGATTTCAGGCGGCTCTGGAAATTCTGGCTGTTGCACATAGAGCGGATATTTTCGGAACAGATTCCAACTTTGGCGTAGATTGGCAAACGAGAGGTGAAAGTTATGAATATCACGCTGTATATTAATGAACATGAGCAATGCTTGGAACCAATTGAGTTCAACGAATTCTCTGATGTTGAATGGGTGTGGGTCATCTGGTCTGTAAGGTGCTCCAATCCAATACAGCTCCGCCAACAGTATTTCCAATTTCCGTATGGCATTTGCATTGCCACGCGTTGAATCTCTTCGGTTGTATGGTGTAGTTGATGGCATTTTTGATGTCGTCACCATCGAATAATTCGTTCAACTCGAGATCTCCACACAGACACATGTGGTTCAATTCGTAGCAACGCATTTTGAAGAACTTTCTCAAAACGCTGTTCGCAATGCGTTTTGAGGTTGGTTTGCACGTTTTTTGCATATTGCTCGTACAGGTATTTGAATGTATTGCCGAAAAATCTGTTCGTTGGCCATGGAAACCATTCGCCGAGAACGTTGATAACCATTTGCCGGAAACCTGGGACCATAAACATTCGATCATTGGTGTAGTTTTGCCGGAGCACACCTTGGAAGCACATTTAGATGATTTCATCGCCATCGGAGTTGAAAAAGTCGTTGTTGAAATCATCGACCGCCGTATTAACCTAACAAGAACAATGGTTTTTTTTGTTCAATTTGGATGAATCGAATCGGTTCAAGATGGTCGTACAAAATGGAGAAAAGAGTGAAAATGTAAAAAAAACTTACCAGATATAGTGAGTATAGCGTTGCCATGATGCTCATTTCCCCAATCACTGTTGTCAAAATCAGCCGATACGGTTTTTGGATGATTGTTCGTAGAGCCAGTTTCACTGTTGTGAATCTCTCATCGCTTCCACCGCGAGCTCCACAGGCTCCACGGGCCATGATGAATAGCTATTAAACAAAAAAAATTGAACAAATTCATGAGAAATTGCGCACAATTTTCACTAAACACTGACTAATGCCCGTTGTAAGTGGTTCGGATTTAATTAAATCCAAAGATTTAATTTTCAACTTTGCGAAAACGACCAAAAAATGAAAGCTAATAAGTCAAAGCATAAAATTTGGGCGAAAACAAGAAAAACTGGCCTTTTGAGTACACCCG